TATACAATATTGACTAAAGACCCTAGTTTACATTAAGGATATCTTCTCATATTGTATGCTTCCCTGATAACTCAGATGGTAAAGAATTCACCCGCAATTCAGGAGACTTGGGTTCAATCCCTAGGTCAGAAAGATCCCCTAGAGAACGAAATGGCTACCCACTCCAGTATTTTTGCCTGGAGAGTATTATGGACAGAAGAGCCTGGCAGACTACAGTTCATGGGGTTGCAAAGAGTCAGACATGACTGAGCGACCAAACATGCACACACTTCATATTGTATGGTTGTGTTGGTTTTGACAAGTACAGTGTAATATGTCCATTGTTGCTGTCTCATACATAATACTTTCATCACCCTGAGAATCTCCTGGATTCAGCCTACTTGTTTCTCTTCCCCACTGCCGTGAAACCTTGTCAGCCGTCATTCTTGTCGTTGTCTCTGTAGTTTTGCCTTTCCCAGTGCAACAAAACTTTCTGACTGAATGTTTCTAGTCAAAAATCTACCTACCTATAGAGTTCGCCCATGTATTCATCAGGACTCTGGACTGTTCAGCCGTTCTTTCTTCTAAGGACTAGAAGAGTAATTCTCAAAGGAGAGTAATTCTGAATAGGACTTCTGTCTTTCCTGCTAGAAAGTTGCAATGGTTAGAAACTAGGATGTGGGGTAGAAATAAAAAATTCTTGGTGTTCAGGCAAAGTAAATGACCCATCATTTGAACATCTGAGCTGTTGTCATCAGATCTGGGGCTTCCTGCACTTTTTATCTTAAATCCTTTCACACTCTCTTCCTTCACAGAGACCTGCCAAACTTTTGTTAAAACAGTGAGCTGTGTGCTCTGAGGACTGACTTTCGGGAGACGAGTTTCCACCTGAAGGGCTTCCCAGGTAGCACTAGTGCTAAGGAACCTGCCTACCAATGCAGGAGACTCAAGAGACCTGGGTTTGATCCCTGGGTTGGGAAGATGCTCTGCAAGAGGGCGCGGCAACCCACTCCAGTATTCTTGTGCGGACTTCTGTCCATGGGGCAGCCAAGAGACAGACACCACTGAGTGTTTAAGCACACACACACGGCTTCCTCCTGAAGAGGGCTGTGACGAGAACACTGTTGGGTATAAACGAGCAGATTTTGACAAATGTTTTTCATCCCCAGCACACTCCCGGGAAATAGGGCTTTGAAGCTTGGAACACCTTTGCAGCACAGTGGAAGACCGTGTCTCCTTTAGAGACAGGAGACATCCAGGGTGCCTCTGGGTACCACACGCATCTTAGAGTGCAGCTGAGACATCCAGGGCGCCTCTGGGTACAATATGCATCTTAGAGTGCAGCTGAGACCTCCAGGGCCCCTCTGGGCATCACACGGCAGCTTAGACAGACTGCAGCTGAGACATCCAGGGCGCCTCCGGGAATCACACAGCAGCTTAGGCAGAGTGCAGCTGAGACATCCAGGGCGCCTCTGGGTACCACACGCATCTCAGACAGAGTGCAGCTGAGACATCCAGGGCGCCTCCGGGAATCACACAGCAGCTTAGGCAGAGTGCAGCTGAGACATCCAGGGCGCCTCTGGGTACCACATGCATCTCAGACAGAGTGCAGCTGAGACATCCAGGGCGCCTCTGGGTACCACACTCATCTCAGACAGAGTGCAGCTGAGACATCCAGGGCGCCTCCGGGCATCACACGCATCTCAGACAGAGTGCGGCTGAGACATCCAGGGCGCCTCTGGGTACCACACGCATCTTAGAGTGCGGCTGAGACATCCAGGGCGCCTCTGGACACCACACGCATCTTAGACAGAGTGCAGCTGAGAGGCAATGGGTTCCAGGGAACAGGTTTTCCACTTTTGATTCTCTGAAGACAGACATTTGTTACCTTGAGACAGGAGATAGAAGAATCTTTAAAAAAAAAAAAATCCTGTTCTTTTGTTTTAAATGCTCTTCCTCTTTGAGTGTTTTTGGATTATTTACTTAACAAAGTACAGTGTTTGTTATTATCGATCTGAGGAGTAAATGGAGAAGAATGTGAAAAACACTCTAAATTGATATAATGACAAAGATCTTTATATTTAGGAAGCCTGAAATTCACCATTTTTGAGTTTGCTTTTATCTAACACTTAAAGATGCAGATGACCTTGGAAGCGTGCTCTTTTTAATTGGCTTTATGAATCTGTCTCCAACCACCTGAGGTGAAAGCTGAAAACAGCTCACTCTTTTTTTTCCTTGCAGTTTTATTGATATACAGTTGACATAGAGCACTGTGTAAATTTAAAGGGTACAGCCTAACGACTTGACTTACATGTTTTGCAAAATGATGGCTGCAATATATTTAGTTAATTCCATCTCCTCATGTATTTGCCAAAAAAATATTTATTCTCTTGTGGTGAAAACTTTTCCACTCTTTTTGAGTGATCATGTAATCATTCTGTCTACAGTGCAAACCCTTCATGCTTTCAACCCTCTCCGATCTCAAGAGGTTTCTAAGTTAATCTATCTGATTTTTTTTGTGGTAATGTATAGGCTTCCACTGAGAGTTAAGTGTTTTAATAAAATCATATATTGTGCGTCCCCAGATATGCTGTTTTTGAGTTAATTCCATCCACAGGCACACAGAAAGGGGAGACAGGAGTAGGGACAAGACAGTTTCCATTTACTCTGCCCCCCCCCTTTTTGCATATTTCTTCTTAGAAACCTCTTGAGATCAGAGATCTGCACACACACACACACACACAAGGAAGGCTAAATGCAAATTGTCTTGTCCCTACTGTCTCTCCTTTCTGTGTGTGTGTAGATGGAGTTAACGCAAAAACAATACATCTGGGTATGCACAATATGTGCTTTTATTAAAACATCACTCTCAGTGGAACCCTATACATTACTATAAAAAAAAATCAGATAGATTAAAATTCCACTTTTCTCTGTCACCACAAACTAAAGCTGTTTAGTGGCTGCCACACCCTTGGTACGCTTTTGTTTTTTATTTGGATATAAATGAGAGTCCAGTATCCTCATTCCTTTCTATTACAAACCACAGTTTTAGAATGCCTCTTAAAGATTTTGCTTTTTATAAATAACAATAACAAAAGTCAATACCTAGATAACTTTTACTGCTACAAACAGACTAACAAGTTGTCTTTTATTAGACCTATTGTGATAAATTTTCTAGAAATGTTGAGTTATACAGATACTTATAAGTGCCACTGTTACCTATCAGTATAGTTTTGCAGATTGTTCAGTTTTTCTTTTCTTTTGATGCTTTGCTTCCACCAATGAAAGATATTTTTAAACCATGTTGGAAGTTGAAACCTAATATGAAATGTTGACCCAACAGGATACTGGCCTTCTTGAGGCTTTCCTGCTAGGATTACTCCTCGATGATTTAGGAATGGCATTCACTATTGCAGGCATTCCTCATGCCCTAAAACTGGCCACCCGAGTGTTAGGACAATGAGATTCATTGTCTGTGAAGAAAGGTCACAGGTTGTTTTATTAGTTAGATACTGGATTTAAGATGACAGTTTAAAATCTAACTGTCAGCAAACAGATAAACAGAGGGCTTGAAAGGCCTTCTAACTTTTGCTCTAGTCAACCTGAGATGTGTAACTTCTCAATGGTTAAATTTTGAGAAGCAGCAAAGTAGGGTTAAGAATAAAGAATATTAATAAAGAATAAAGAAACGGACATGATGCCTATCTTCTTACAGTAATTTTTAGGATTGTTAAGTATGTTAAATGAATTTAGAGACACAAAACATTAATGGTTTCTTTGGTTAATTTGAATGTTCTTTTCAGTGGTTAGTGAGTAATCTTCAGCAATTTATGTATTATAACTTGGCTGCTGTTTCCAATTTCCAATTGTGAAATTATATAATCATTGACTTACTGGTGCAAAGAAATTGCTTCTTTTTCAAAGAGAGATAAAATTAAATAAATAATGCCTATATTGGCGTCCCTTGCCTTATAGAAAGACTGGTCTCCACCAGGGGATATCCAAAATAACTAACTTGAAATTCTTGAAAAAAGAAGCTATTTTCAATTTATTGTATTTTTCTTAAAATAATTGGCAGTCACATTTTGGCTGTGTGTATGATCTAAATATTCCTTTCTTTTCTGGGCATTTGTCATAACTCTGTTCAGAGGCATAAGTATGCCCTATATCACTTAATTTCTTTCCTAACTTTCTCATTCCTTGTGAAGGATGTCAGTTTTTCCATGGCATAATTTTATGAATAATGGCCAGTATCCTATTTCATGTCACAAAAGCTCACTGGTCCAGTTAGCGTCTTCGTCAGTACATAGGACAGAGACTGGTGAGTAGCGCGCTAATGCAAAAGCTGAAACATGAAGTAACTTGGTATTAGGTGCACAATTTTAAATCATTCTGAGGGTTGCCAAAGTGATAAAGTAGTACTGTCCTGCTTGTTAACTTCGTGGAACACTTCAGTGAGATGGGGCCAAATACTATCTCCCTATTTACCATCTTGTGTTGGAAAGAATATAAATCAGAAGGATTGCTCATTTGCAGATAGCCCTAGCAGTGGGACCCAGTAGAAATTCTGGAGACTTGTAGGAAGTGTATTCCCTTGGAGACAGGAGAGAACATGGAGCTTGTAATGAAGGTAGCAGAATGCCCAAGAGACATTCCTGAGGAAGATGTCAGAAGTCTCCTCTAGATTTTAGTTCTCTGTACTCCAAACTTTATCTGTAACCTGAGAGAAGTCACTACAATCTCTGTGGACTATAGCTTCCTCATCTATATCACCTCTTGGTTATTTTGGTTTTAAAAGGACATGAATTTACTCACTGAACCTGACTTGTAGACACTTACCTGAGATGCTCTCTACTGGGGGTTTACGGGAAAATGCAGAGTTCCAAGTAAACAATCACAGGGATGCTTTTAGAGTTCAAACAGACACAGACTGTGAAATGCTAGACTTGTGACTGGTTTATTAACCGGGAAATTCTGGCATTGAAGTGTGACTAGGCCTTTTGTGTGTTGATTAATCACAGACCCCAGAGGGCATAAGTGAAGAACAAAGGATTCAGGAGTTGACTGCAATGGAAGAGACCCGGATAACAATTCTGAACAACCTTGAGGAACTCGAACAAAAAATCAAAGATATAAACGACCAGATGGAGGAGTCTTCCAGAGAGGTACAAACCACGAGTTCACTTATTACCTCTCCCAATTTTCTTTCTTTCCTTTAGCTTAAATATAACATTACCTCTTAGGGCACAGGCCTTGGAGGGCAGAATACATAGAGGTCAACATGAGCAAATATTCATGGAATGGGTACATATGTGGGGTATAATTGTCTTTTTAAAATGTTTCTTCTTTCTGTGTTTTTGTTCATCCAATGAGATAAGCATATGAAGCCATTTTTAATGTATGCTATGTAACTGACTTTGTCTTAACTGGTGTGTGCTTTCTGACGTGCTTCAAGATCTGTCAGCTGAGGTACCATATATTTAGACGTTTAAGCTCAAATCCAACAAACATTTTTGTAAGTGTGTTAAGTATGAGTTGAGTATCATCTTGGCACTATGGGGGGATTTACATGTGAATCAATCATAGACCTCACTTTGCAGAGGTTTGCAAATCTCTAGAGGAGACAGACATATACAGTATAACTGCAGTTAGAGAAAAGGGTGATTTTTTCATACCTCCATAGAGTGAGAAGGAGGCACTCATTCTGCCCAGGAAGGATCTTCATGTCTGTTCTCACAGCTGATGCTGACAGCCCATGTGTGGAAGGGAATGATCATCTGTCATGTAGAGACCCTGGAAGCCCCTCCTTGCTGGCACTGCTGGAAATGCAGCGCTTGCTTGATGGACTGAGTGTAGTTTTCACTTTCTGTGCTCTGGGGACAAACAGAGATGTGACTGCTCCCAAGATGGCTCACACTTGAGCCTGAATCTAAGCAAATAGGCAAAATTACCTTGAGAAGTAAACGAAAAGGCGGGGAGGGTATAATAGAAAAATTAAATTAAAAGATAGCTAGTGTTCTTAGCAAGTATATTCTGGCCTCCCTACTTTCTCATATAAGAATTCTGAGTCTTGCATGGACTCTCTGGAGTGTTTTCTGGGCTCCATAATCTGACTGAAAACAGTAGTACTTTTTGCAATTTGTACCTGTTAAAAATACACCTTTAAAGGAGGCAGCTGGAATTTCCCTGAAGGTGAAACATTTCTGAGCTTTGTTTGTGTCTTCAGCTGGATATGGAATGTGCTCTCTTGGATGGAGAACAAAAATCAGAAACAACTGAACTTATGAAAGAGAAGGAGATTTTAGATCATCTAAATCGGAAAATCACAGAACTGGAAAAGAACATTGTTGGTGAAAAGACCAAGGTAAAAAGAAAATTATACATGATACAAATTTTGGGGGCAAAATGGTGGTCCCATTGATTAAATTTAAATGTTGCATGAATCATGGTTTTGGACTTGTGTTCCATGTTCCGGGAGATAGTGACACTAGGAAAGAGTCTTCAGACGAGGTAAGTCGTTGCACACAGAACTCGCAGGTACAGAGCAGCTGATGCTGAGACAGTAGGACATGCTTCGTTTTTGAGCTGATATTTGTGGCAGTTTACCCCTCCTGAGATGAGTGAATTGCTTTTTTCCATTAGCTTTTCTGCTGTTCTGATTCCACTCTTTTTTAAAAGGATCATTTTAGTACTTTGGAACTTCTTTGCTAGTGGTGCCCTGCAAGGATGGCTTAAGCATATTCAAATATGGTTGCCTCATTTCTTTTCATTTTTCTGTGTATTAAAAAGGTGAATGGGAAATGTTCATCTCATCTGTCTTGCCTTGCCATTGGCTTCAATGCAAGTGCACTGCTCTTAGAAAAATATGTTGGGGTTTTCAGGGGATCCTCACACACTGCCAAGTGAAAACTGTGAAATACAGTTGATACTTATTTTGGAAAAAGTTTTACTGACACATTTTAGGCCACAGCCTAAATGTTAGCTGATCCCTCCTAGGGAATATGAAGAATTACTTGCAGTTTTTAGAATTCAGGGTAGTAGTTGGGTTTTGGGATTTTGTTGTTGTTGTTGTTGTTGTTGTTTTCTGTTTATTTTTTCTGGAAAATATTTCACTTATTGTCATCTCAAATTCTAAGTCAGTTACAGGAAACTCAGCCTAAATTAAAAATTAAAATTACAATTTGAAAAAAAAAAAGCAAATGAGCTTTAATACATTCTTTCTTGATCATCAAGTTCTCCTCTAAACTGAGGAAAAGAAAAATAATTTCAGTTTGAGTAAATTCCACTGGTAATATGTGGAGAGGATTTCTACTGCATGTAGCTTCCTTTTTAGGCTTCTCTTTGTTTGAAACCTATAAATAAGGGCATTTGATCTTGGTGCCAGAGAGTGAGCTCAAAAAGATATTGTCAGAAATTAAAGTCAGATTAAAAGCTACATATCAATTTCTTGGTTGCCCGCTTGTCAAGATTAAACTGCACATCTTTTTCATGTTAAAGTTTATGTATGTGCCTTTGAGCTCCAGACTTTGAAACTGTAAAGAATCCATTTGGGTAGTGGACATATTTTTCTTTAAAAGCTCAAAACCATATGAAAGCATTGATTGTCTAGTTCTGCCGAGCAGGGATATTATGGTTTTCAAAGATTCTGCACTGATACAGCAAGGAACTTTTGTTGGAGGCATCGGGTGTCTTTGTTTTGGTGCTTAGTAGTAGTTTATTGTTTATGTCAAACTGGAAAGCTTGTGGGACATTGGAATGGGGAATCAGAATCTCTGAATCTGTCTGCCTTCCCCATCCGTGTAGTTGTTTGTCTTTGTGTAACCCACATATGACACAGACTATAAATTCTATACACAAAAGTGAAGTAAGTTGAGTGAGTGCTAAATCTCACTTTTCAGGGCCAGTTGTGTTATATTCTCCAGACCTAAGGTGGAGATGGAACTCTAGTAACATGGGTGGAAACAAACAAAGAGGAAGTTGCTTACATTATTGTTCTTTTTTGTATTCTTCCTATTATTATTTTGAAGAGAGGGGGCAGTGGGGGCTTGAAGTATAGAACCAGCTCATGCAGCTGTTAGGGGATTAGTTGGTCTCGGAAGGTGGGATTATTGTGTCATCACATGGTATGAAAAATGACAGAAACTGGCTTTGGGTGAGAGATTCCAGAGGAAAACGAGGGAAGTGAAAACAGACTGGGCTCGATGATGTTACTGCATATTCTTGACAACCAAACTCAAATAGAGACTGAATACCTCTTGGCAGCATCACTGTTTCTCAAATAAAGCTACTCTACTGTTTTATGGCATGGCTATTTTATACCTTCACTCTGTTCAAACTTCTAGTCCAATTTCCTCCCCTTGGCCCTGAGATGATCTCACCACCTACTTCACTTAGAAATTAGAGCATGTAGTCTTCACAAAGAAAGGCTGGTGTGTGTGCGTGCCAAGTTGCTTCAGTCATGTCTGACTGTGACCCCCATAGGCCCTCCAGACCTCTCTGTCCATGAGATTCTCCAGTCAAGAAAACCGGAGAGGGTTGCCATGCCCTGTTCCTGGGGACCTTCCCGACCCAGGGGCTGAAGCTGAGTCTCATGTCTCCTGCGTTGGCAGGCAAGCGCTTTACCACTAGCGCCACGTGGGAAGCCCCAGGAAGGCTCTTCTCCCCCCAGAGACCAGTCCCTCTGGGTGTGCCCGGGGCACCGCCCCACCGCCTAGAGGGTTTCCCGTCCTCCTGTTCCCAGCCCCTCCCAGCCACTCCCTCTTCACTGGGCTTGTGCTGCCAGTATGCCAACATTAGTATTCTTAAAAATTGGTTCAGGTTGGGGAACACATGTGCACCCATGGCTGATTCATGTGAATGTATGGCAAAAACCACCACAATATTGTTAAGTAATTAGCCTCCAATTGAAATAAATAAGTTTAAAAAACAAACAAAAAATTATTGTTAAAGAATAAAGTTCCTTCCAGCAACGATCTTAGCTAGTTTCTCTTCAGCACAGCCAAGCTTTTCAAACAGTTTTCTCAGTGCAGTGTATGATGTCTTGCTCAGTTAGCCGTTCCCCCCATCCTTGTCACTGCTCCATCAGATTTGCTCCTGTTCATGCCACTACCTTAGTGCAGCCTATCACGTTCTTTTATAGCCACAGTTCAAATAACCTGTGTGCACTGGTGACTGTCGAATGTATGTCTTTAGTCCACAGCCTTTTTCTGAGCTTCTGACTCATAACCTGTAGCCCAGCTGATATCTCCCCTGAGATATTTCTCAGGTATTTCCAGCTGAACACTCTGTAACGGAACTCTTGATCTCATCCTTCCCCTTGCCTTCCATACACCTCCCTTACTTCCAATCCTGTTCTTCCTCTAGTTTTCCCACCAGGAAGTGGCATCTTTATACACCTATATGCCCAAACAGAAACCTGGAAGTAGATCTTGATATTTCTTTCTCTATCAACCCTACTCCTAATTGATTGCAATGCTATTTTTCAATTACTTTAACTTCCCTGCATCTCCCCTAATAGCATTCTCTTCAAAATCATCAACATTTCCTTTTGAGTTCTGTTTCCACTTGCTTCCCTTCAGTTCATTTTCTTCACAGCAGCCAGTGTGACTTTTAAAATATAAATGAGGTCACATCCTTCCAGTTTGTATTCCCCTGTATTTTATATGAGCCTAAATTCCTTATCCATCCTGACTGTTTCCATTACTTTCCTCCCCTCTTCACCTCGCTCACGTGGTGGCCGTCTTTCTGTTTGTTCACAGGTCCACCCTGCCCGCTGCCCCTGCCCAGCGCCCTTGCAGATCCGTTACTTTCCTCCCCTCTTCACCTCGCCCACATGGTGGCCGTCTTTCTGTTTGTTCACAGGTCCACCCTGCCCGCTGCCCCTGCCCAGCGCCCTTGCAGATCCGTTACTTTCCTCCCCTCTTCACCTCGCCCACATGGTGGCCGTCTTTCTGTTTGTTCACAGGTCCACCCTGCCCGCTGCCCCTGCCCAGCGCCCTTGCAGATCCGTTACTTTCCTCCCCTCTTCACCTCGCCCACGTGGTGGCCGTCTTTCTGTTTGTTCACAGGTCCACCCCGCCCGCTGCCCCTGCCCAGCGCCCTTGCAGATTCGTTACTTTCCTCCCCTCTTCACCTCGCCCACATGGTGGCCGTCTTTCTGTTTGTTCACAGGTCCACCCCGCCCGCTGCCCCTGCCCAGCGCCCTTGCAGATCTGTTACTTTCCTCCCCTCTTCACCTCGCCCACATGGTGGCCGTCTTTCTGTTTGTTCACAGGTCCACCCCGCCCGCTGCCCCTGCCCAGCGCCCTTGCAGATCTGTTACTTTCCTCCCCTCTTCACCTCGCTCACGTGGTGGCCGTCTTTCTGTTTGTTCACAGGTCCACCCCGCCCGCTGCCCCTGCCCAGCGCCCTTGCAGATCCGTTACTTTCCTCCCCTCTTCACCTCGCTCACGTGGTGGCCGTCTTTCTGTTTGTTCACAGGTCCACCCCGCCCGCTGCCCCTGCCCAGCACCCTTGCAGGTCAGCTCGCCTTGCCTGGACTCTCCTTCCCCACCTTCTGTGTCTGGTTGGTTCCATCTCTCAAGGCTTGAGCTCAGTGTTGGTTTTTCAGAAAAGCCCTGTCGGCCCGTTCCAGCTCAGATGACAAGCTCTCTGTTGTTCTGTCAGTCCTTTCACAATCACATTTGGTCATTTATATTTGTTTTGGTTGGTTAGATATTAATTTCCCTCTCTAGCCTGTGAAATAGAGGTAGGCACTGTTATCCACTGTTTATCCAGCTCGTAAGAGGTGCCAGAATACCGCCCAGTGTTCTTTGGGAATATTGTCCTTGGATCTTGTGCTAACGGCGAGTCCCCGCTGGGTCTGAACAGAAACGTGGAGCCAAACACCTGCTTAAGGGCTGCGTGCGGCCAAGTCTCAGGACAGCTGGGGTGCTCTGTCCAAGGGCTCACGCCAGGCGGCTCGCAGTCACACCGCTCGTCGAGCCAGGGCATGAGACAGAAGAAGGAAGCGGCCTTTACCCTTTTGGATCTCGTTTCCTTTCCTATACACCTGTTGCTGTTGTCAGATATAAATGGTGGAATGAGAAAACCAAAACCTGAAAAGATATCCCTGTTGGGCAAACTCCAGTTTAGATGTCGGCAGCACATCCTGTAAGCCTGGCTCTCATTTTTTGGAGACAAGGCCTGGAGCCATAGGAGGAAAGTTTAATATGTGACAGTTCAAATCCTGGCGTGAAATTATCGACATTTTTTTTCTTGGCTGTCAAGATCAGACTTTAATGTTATTTCTTTTAGCTTCCTCGGGAACTATCATTCTGTTTTCGGTGCTTAGTATAAATTGATGTATTTCATAGGTGACCACTA